AAGACAAGGTTAAGAGCCAGTGTTCATAGAATGTCTGATTTTTCATATAAAGTCATAAATCTGTATTTTATGCAAATTTTCCCAATTTTAAACATGGACAAATTCAAAAAATTGTAAACACTAGATCAAATGAAGACTTTAGCTTTCTGATTTGCAGTGTCTGGAATATATCATAGTCTAGACTCTGGGATTTTGAGTCAGAAAATCTGTGTCTTAATCCTTCCTTCGCTACTTATTAAACTCAGTAAAAACTTGGGTAAGCAATCTCTCATTTCACTAATCAAAAAGTTTTCATAACAATTTGTTCATTAGGTTATTTTTCTCAGGATATTTTTATAAAAATTTTCCAAACATAAAAAATTTAAAGATTTTTAAAATGAAAACTTATGTGCTTGCCATCTAGATTGGACTTTTAATGTATTACTACGCATGCTCTATAAAACTCCTATCCATCTATCCAGTCATCAATCTGTCGTCCTTTTTGGCTTAGTTTCAAAAGAGTTACAGACATCTCTGTGCATCCTTCATTGGATTGTCTTGAGGAATAAATGGAAAGCATCAAAAAATTTCAAGCACATCTAGCACATAGATAACCATTAGAATTGTAATAGCCCCTTCCCTCCATCTGTGTTTACTATATATAGTTTGAAAGTCACTGGACCTACTAAGAGTACGTGTTTTAGACTGAGGGAAGAGGGATATTTCTACAATAACTTTTTCATCAAAATCCTGTTGGCCCTTACGTTCAAAATGTATCCAGAACCTGGACTTCTGGTTGCAGCCAAAAATAGAGTATCCCCATTTCTCTCTAATCCTCCCTCTTATTAATACATACACACACACACACACACAGAACTTTACACATGATAACCATGGGAAGACTATACAAACTGGAAATAAGACTGGCTCAGAGAGGAATGACACTGTGGTGAGTTCCCTGAATTTTCTTTCTACTTCTTGTGTATCCTGGATGGAGCCCTGGAGATACCTACACCCTGGCATCTCTGTCAACAGGAACAGACTAAAAAAGCCTCAAGAAAAGCCTGCAACCTGTAACCCAAGAATTGACAAAAGGATAGACTAATAGAACAGGGAAACTTTTTTAAAAATTTTTTATTGTTATGTTAATCACCATACATTACATCATTAGTTTTTGATGTAGTTTTCCACGATTCATTGTTTGGGCATAACACCCAGTGCTCCGTGCAGGACATGCCCTCTTTAATACCCATCACCAGGCTAACCCATCCCCCCACCCCCCTCCCCTCTAGAACCCTCAGTTTGTTTTTCAGAATCCATCGTCTCTCGTGGTTCGTCTCCCCCTCCGATTTCCCCAACCTTTTGATAATACTGTTCCAACTCTAGCCAAACACCAAAGGAAAAACTATCCCCTCACTGCAGTGCCAGTGGACTGGGCAGATAGCTAGACTTCCGGCCCCACCAAAGGAAGCCAGGAGAGCAATTCTAAGATGGCCCTAGACTTCCTCCACTGGGCTGGTGTCAGTGGGCCAAATAAGAGCTGAACTTTCACCCCTATCCAGCAGCAAAGAGGTAGAACAAGGTGGGATGAGATGATGCTAGCTGACACTCCGCTCTCCAGTGGGGAGCTGAACTTGCACCTTCACCAAGCAGCAACAAGTTGGAATAAGGTGATGCTAGTTAGCTTTCCATTTCCCTACTCCTGGTACTGGTGGAGACCAGCCAGGAGCTGAACTGCTACTGCTGGCCAGTGGCAATGAGGTAGAAGGAGGAAGAGGGAAGCAGTGCTAGTTGACAGACCACTTTCCCCCTAGGTAGTCCGCAGGGCGGAGGGGGCAGCTGAACTTCTAGCCCTACCTAGAGGCAAGGAGTCAGAACAAAATGGTTCAAGGCAGTGCTAGTCAGCACCCCATTTTCACTCCCTCGTTGGTGTCAGTGGACCTATAGGGAGCTAAGCTTCTACCCGTACTAAGTGGCAATGAGGTAGAATGAGTAGAATACTAGTTAGTACCCCACTTTCCTCCCTGGTGTCACCAGGGATAAGTAGGGAGCTGAATATCCACCTCATTTGGATCTGCAGGCTATACCTAAACTGATCTACAACCTACAAAAAACTACAATTAAGTAGGATATAGCCTTTTACACTGTAATACCCAAATGTCCAGTATAGAATAAAATCACTTCTCATACCGAGAACCAGGAAGATCTCAACTTGAATGAGAAAAGATAACCAACAGATAAAACACTGAGATAACATAGGTGTTAGAATTATTTGACAAGAATTTTAAAGTACTCATCATGCTTCAGTGATTACACATACACTTAAATAAATGGGAAAAGAAATGAAAGTCTCAGCAAAGGAAAAAGGGATATAAAGAAGAACCAAATGGAATGTTAAAACTGAAAAATACAAAAACCAAAGTAAAAAACTCATTGAGTGGGCTCAAGAACAGAATAAATAAGACAGAAGAAAGAATCACTGAATGTGCAGATAGAAAAACAGAAATTACTCAGTCTGGACAGAGAGAGGACTTACTGGAAATGTACCCACTGCCTACCACTTCCTTTAATACGATCCTCAGCCAAGCCACTATTTTGCCTGCATATAGCAACTAGACGCATAACTCATATCGCTTTTTCGAACTTGGCCCCTCGGATCTTTTTTATACCAAAGGAACCATTTAAAAACATAAATTAGATCAAATAATCTTCTTCTCAGTGGTTCCCCATTTTGTCAGAGTAAAAATCAGTGTTTTTACACAAGGCCCTTCAGGATTTGTCCCCTGTTGTCTCTTTGCCTGTGGTAGGCAAAATTCTAAGATGGCCCCATGATTTCTACCCCATGATGTTACTCCCACAGTTTAAATAACCTTACATGGAAAAAAGAATTTGCAAATGTACTTAAGGTTACTAATCACTTGATCTTAAGGTAGGGAGATTATCTGGGTAGGCCTAACCTAATCACAGAAACCATTGAAAAACAAAAGTTAGACCTATCTAGTTGTGGAAGAGCAAGCCAGAGAAATTCCAAATGAGAAAATTCCAGTTCAGTGTGTCATTGCCAGCTTGAACATGGAGGTAGCCACATAACAAGGAATGTGAGTAGCCTCTAGAACCTGAGAGAGACCCCCAACTGGCAGCCAGCAAGGAAACAGGGTGCTCAGTCTTTGTGATAGTTAATTATATATGTCATCTTGACTGGGTCACAGGGCACCCAGGTATTTAGTTAAATGGGGCAGGGATGTTTGTTTTGTGTATAAACTTTCTAAGTACTTGGAACAATTCCTGGTATGGTAGTGCTTACGAAGTATTTGTAGAATAAAATAAAGGAACTCTATGTCAAGTTACCTCTGACTTAATGCATTGCATTGTAATATTTATAGTCCAAGGTATATGTGCATTTTACAGCCTTCCTCAAAACTAGGCTAAACATAGATATATAACACATAGCTTTGTACATGGGAATGTGATAATGAATAATAGATTCTGTGCAGTCATTAGTATAAAAATATATTGGATCGCTCTTTGCCATTCTTACATCATTAAGTGCAAGAAAATATGAGAGAAACTTTAATGACTGAAACTGGGATACTTCTGAGAGGAGGGTGGGCGATACGAAAGGTGCCTTAGTCAAACCCAAGGCTTACAGAATACATTTTTTAAAACTACTTATAAGAAAAATAGAACTAGATGACTTCTAAGATACCTTAAAATTCTATATTCTATAGTTATCTAGCCTCTACACAAACTCAATTAACTAATGGCTCAAGATTTTATCTCTGATCTTTTCATTGATCTTTTTACTGAAATCTGTGTTTGCAGTCCTCCTTGTGGATCCGTATTCCTAACCTTTTGTCTCCAACAGCTTCCGAATGCCACATGGATGATGCACCATTATCCGGAATGGAGCATGTCAGAATCACACTCATCCTTGTGGTCCTGGATTCTAGTTCCCCTTCCTTTTGCCAGTTACTTAGATATTTATCCCTCTCTCCTCTACTACCTGAGTCAATCTCTGGACCCACTGTTTCTCCTTTCAGATTTCCTCTCTCATGTCGCCCTTTGTTTTCATTATCACTGCTGTCACCCTTGTTCATACTCTCACTTCCTCAAATCTGTATTATTTTAGTCAACATCCTAACCGATCTTCCTACCTCGCATCGTATCTGCACTCTCCTCTCCAGCAATCCTACATATGACCATTTGTTAATGCTCCTGAAATGGATTTAAATATTCTCAATGCCTCAAAATCTTCCAATGGGTCTCACTACTATGGAGTAAATTTTAATTAACAGTCAAACAAATATGTAAGATATTTCATTATCTGGCCTATTCAGTCTCGTCTCTTGTCCCCCAAATTCTCTTCCTTTTTTTGGACACATCCATCCTACTGAGCACCACTGCGGTGCTCAGTAGAAGAGCAAGAGAGTGGGGAGAGTGAAGTGGGTGAAGGTGGTTGAAAGATACAACCTTCTAGTTTTAAAATAAGTAAGTCCTTGGGACATGGTATTCAACATGGTGCATAATAATGCACTGTATATTTGAATGTTGCTGCGAGTCGATCTTAAAAGTTCTCATCACAAGAAAAAAAAATTATAACTATGTGTGGTGGAGGATGTTAACTACACTCATTCTGATGATCATTTCACAATGTATACACATATTGAATCCTTACATTGTACACCTGAAGCTAAATAATGTTCTATGTCAATTATGTCTCAATTTAAAAAAATACAAGGACAGATTTTAAATAAAGGAAAAGTGGAAGTAAGGCCAGTTTAAGAAAATATTTTGGAATTAAGGAATGACTTTGCATGGTACTTGAGCATTTGTTATAGTGAGAAATGCACTATATATCTGCCCCAATATTAGGATTTTTCTTGGAGTGCTACTGTGTCTTATTTTGGGAAGCCATTTTATCAGTAGTGAATTGCTGGTATCATATATCTCAATGAAAGTAAAAGCGATCTAAATCTTGAATGGATCACCCTGTGAGCTCTGTTTTCTACTTGTTTCTTCAGGGAGCCGCGCAAGGTGGTCCTGCACAAAGGCTCCACTGGCCTGGGCTTCAACATCGTAGGCGGGGAAGACGGAGAAGGTATTTTTGTATCCTTCATTCTGGCTGGTGGACCGGCAGACCTGAGTGGGGAGCTCCAGAGAGGAGACCAGATCCTCTCCGTGAGTATTTCTTCTTAATCTTTATTCCTCCATATCTGACACCATTTGAGAAAAAGTCACTTTCAATTTTGACTCCAGAAGCACCTTAATTAAAAAGGAAAAATGGAGGAGAGCATTATGGCTTCCAGTACATGTTGTGGTTTAAATGGTGTTGAAGTGCTTGGTGCTTGCAACTCAGTTCCCTCAGATACAGGTAAAAGTGCTAGTGTTTTCATGTAGACGTTATGAGACGTATAATGCATCCAATAGAGCATTGAGAATCATGCCTTTTTAAGGTATTATTTATTTTTAATGCAGATTTTTTTTCCAAATCCTTGACTATACTCTAAAAACAGCACCTTTATAAGCATATAGTTTGTTGCATATAACTATATAAGAAAATACGTGAAATACGCAGTCGGATGCCACTGATAAGTGGTAGCAGCAGCACCATTTACCTAAATGCAAGAATTACCAGCAACAAGTTATTAAGCACTTATTACTTAAGCATTTTATAGAAGTAATTTTTGATTCTCACAATCACCATGAAAGCTAATGCCCCATGTTGAGAGGAAAAAAAATACGGTTCAGAGAGGTTAAGTCAGTGTTTACCTAACTAGAGAGAATAAGAGCTGGGATTTAAATATTCAGGGCTTTTTTTTTTTTAAGATTTTATTTTTAAGTAATCTCTACATGCAACATGGGGCTCAAACTTACAACCCTGAGATCAAGAGCCACATGCTCTACTGACTGAGCCAGCCAGGCGCCCCTAAATGTTCCATTTTAATGCCCCTCATACCTGCCCTCTCTCTTCTCTCCTTCCTCCCCTTCCCCCGTCCTCTCTTCCATCTGTCTTCCCTCCTTTCTTTTATTGAAATATTTATTGCCTGCTTCTTTCCAATAGATCAAGCTTTTTTTCTGGTATAAACTCTGTGACAGGTAGTTAAAAACATTGTGAGTGTTCATGACCATACTGAAATTTTGGTAATCATGCAAATAATAGGAAATAATCTAAGGAGCCTAGTTCTTATGGCTGAGTTTATGGCTCATAACTCAATGAAGCACTTACTTTGTGGTTTTCATTGTGTACTTAGAAAAACTTGTCTTTGTTTTATAGTTGTGATTTATAACTAGAATTTTCCAAGTGACCTTATCTTTGTTAGCTATCATGCCATCCCCACCTTTCCCTCACACACACGATACCTGGGTAATATAGTCAACTGACCTGAGCAAAGTGTCCAGTCCAGTCCAGATGAGGCAAAGCCATCCATTCCGGTAGTTCTCCCATACATTAAGTCCTCTGCTTATTCCTTAGCTAGCAGATGTCTGGATGGATTGAGTATGGGAGAAATAGGGTCAGGTCCCACGGTAGGACCTTGTTTTGTCATCCAAGAGCTGAATGTCACCTTTGACTACTCCCCTCTGCATACTTCTTCTACACGTAAATGATACATATCTTCCTGGACTTACAATGGGGTTATATGCTGATAAGCCCCATGTAAGCTGAAAATATTGTAGTCAAAAATGCATTTAGTAAACATAGAACACTTAAATTAGCCTACTTTTGGGCAAAATCACCTAAAACAAAGCCTACTTTATAATATTTTATAAGAGTTGGGCACCTGGGTGGCTCAGTCATTAAGCGTCTGCCTTCGGCTCTGGTCATGATCCCAGGGTCCTGGGATCGAGTCCCACATCGGGCTCCCTGCTCAGCAGGAAGCCTGCTTCTCCCTCTCCCACTCCCCCTG